CGGGGGGGGGGCATTGTCTTCCAGAATTATTTCATTGTTATACAGTCAGAAAACAAAGATGTCACCCCCACAGTCTGACGTGGAACACAATTCCTTCTCCCCATACAAATCATTCATCGTATTGCGCAATCTGTTACATATGATCAAATCACCTTATGAATGGAAGCCAGGTTACTGTGGGCATCTGCAAAGGCCGGATTGATCTGAATGGCTCTGGTGTAGCACTGAAGAGCTCCCTGGACATCTTGCATTTCTTTCAGTGTGTTACCCATATTGGAATAAGCATCAGCAAACGTTGGACTTATTCTGAAACACAAATCATATTGCTGAGACTGCGACCCGGACAAAGCAAAGAGCACGGGACAAGGGCTGCGACCCGGACAAAGCAAAGCGCACGGGACAAGGGCTGCGGCCCGGACAAAGCAAAGCGCGCGGCACAAGGGCTGCGACCCGGACAAAGCAAAGCGCACGGGACAAGGGCTGCGACCCGGACAAAGCAAAGCGCGCGGCACAAGGGCTGCGACCCGGACAAAGCAAAGCGCGCGGCACAAGAGCTGCGACCCGGACAAAGCAAAGCGCACGGGACAAGGGCTGCGGCCCGGACAAAGCAAAGCGCGCGGGACAAGGGCTGCGACCCGGACAAAGCAAAGCGCGCGGCACAAGGGCTGCGGCCCGGACAAAGCAAAGCGCGCGGCACAAGGGCTGCGACCCGGACAAAGCAAAGCGCACGGGACAAGGGCTGCAATCCTTAGCTCACCTGATGGCCTCCTTGTAATGCATCAAAGCCTCCTGAAGCTTGCCTTGTTGTTGGAGGACGCTGGCAAGGTTGGAATGAGCAGCCGCAAATTCTGGGAAGACCTATAAAGAGAAAGATTCTAATACTCCGGACAGAAGCAGAGAGTGCTATGTACAGGAAATCTAGAATATAAAATCACCTCCAGAGCTTTCCTGTAGAGACGGACCGCCTCCTCAATGTTCCCCTGTTCACGTTTGATGTTGGCAAGGTTGTTGAGGGAATCGGCGTGTGTCGGGCACAGGCGGAGAGCAGTGTTGTAGCATTCTTCAGCATCAACCACCTTCAGAGGAAAATCATCATTAAATAGATTACTAAAGAATGTGATACCAGAGAGATCACTACAGAGGATAAAGGCAGCAGGAGAAACCATCACCTGGCTCGACAAGCAGACTGAAGCGCACACTAAATGATGGTACTCCAGGCTCAGAGAATGTAAGGAAAGGGACATAGAGTATGAGGATTGGAGCGCTGTGCATGGGAATTGTCAGGCCGATGGAGGTTCTGTGCAAGAACAGCGGCCCGGTTCTCCAGTGTGCCACCAACACACGACAGCTTCCACTGAACAACATACTGGACACGTGTACTCACTGCCAGGGTACCATGCTTACATACAGGACAGGTGTACAGAGGACACGGTTTACATACGGGACACATGTACTCACGCTGCCAGGGGACACAGCTTACATACAGGACACGTGTAATCACGCTGCCAGGGGACACTGCTAACATACAGGACACGTGTACTCACACTGCCAGGGGACACTGCTAACATACAGGACACGTGTACTCACACTGCCAGGGGACACTGCTAACATACAGGACACGTGTACTCACACTGCCAGGGGACACTGCTAACATACAGGACACGTGTACTCACACTGCCAGGGGACACTGCTAACATACAGGACACGTGTACTCACACTGCCAGGGGACACTGCTAACATACAGGACACGTGTACTCACACTGCCAGGGGACACTGCTAACATACAGGACACGTGTACTCACACTGCCAGGGGACACTGCTAACATACAGGACACGTGTACTCACACTGCCAGGGGACACTGCTAACATACAGGACACGTGTACTCACACTGCCAGGGGACACTGCTAACATACAGGACACGTGTACTCACACTGCCAGGGGACACTGCTAACATACAGGACACGTGTACTCACACTGCCAGGGGACACTGCTAACATACAGGACACGTGTACTCACACTGCCAGGGGACACTGCTAACATACAGGACACGTGTACTCACACTGCCAGGGGACACTGCTAACATACAGGACACGTGTACTCACACTGCCAGGGGACACTGCTAACATACAGGACACGTGTACTCACACTGCCAGGGGACACTGCTAACATACAGGACACGTGTACTCACACTGCCAGGGGACACTGCTAACATACAGGACACGTGTACTCACACTGCCAGGGGACACTGCTAACATACAGGACACGTGTACTCACACTGCCAGGGGACACTGCTAACATACAGGACACGTGTACTCACACTGCCAGGGGACACTGCTAACATACAGGACACGTGTACTCACACTGCCAGGGGACACTGCTAACATACAGGACACGTGTACTCACACTGCCAGGGGACACAGCTTACATACAGGACACGTGTACTCACACTGCCAGGGGACACTGCTAACATACAGGACATGTGTACTCACACTGCCAGGGGACACTGCTAACATACAGGACACGTGTAATCACGCTGCCAGGGGACACAGTTTACATACAGGACACGTGTACTCACGCTGCCTTTTTCTTTGAGCGCATTGGCAAGATTACAGTAGGCATCAGGAAAGTGCGGCTGCAGTTCAATGGCCCTTCTGTATGTATCGATAGCAAGATCAATGAGCCCTTGTTCATAATATACACACGCCAGATTTCCATGGACCACGGCATGGTTGGGACTAAGACTGAGCGCTCGTAAATATGCAGCAACAGCTCTGCAAACAAAAAAAGAGTAAAAACATTTAGCTGGTGAAGAGAAGATCCTTCCTGGGCTAGAAGATAATACAAAGTTCTGTTTTCTACCTTACCTGTCAAATATGCGGGCTTCTTTAAGAACATTCCCCAAATTAATGTAAGCATCCAGAAAATTAGGATCAAGTGTTACAGCCTAAAATACATATACAAACCATGTCAAATACAGAAGGAAATAAGAAACTCAATGCAACTGATGAAAACATTCCAAGGAAGCGAGACGTGACCCCAGAAATCTTTATTTCCCCCGACTAATACATCAGAAACATCTTTCACACACTAACACTATCATTCTTTCTAATCATACGGTGCGAATGCTGTAAGACCTGATGC